CCCTTCCATTTAAGGGAATATTTACGAGCGTTGGATTCTCCTGGTCCTTGAACACCAATACCATATTCTTATCAGTAGAGAGAAAACAGTATTCTCCATTGTCCCTAGACAGATCAAGAGACAACTGATTTCCTTATTTTCAATTCTGTGACTCTTATTTAACATTCTTTTACCTGGGTGGTGCTGATATGGAGTTTGATCTAAGGGCATTTCCACTGATCAGAAATGCATTTCTCTGGGGCTCCTGGGTGGCTCAGTCGGTTAAGCATCTGACTTCAGCTCAGGTCATGATCTCACAATTCATGAGTTCAAGCCCCACATTGGGCTCTTTGCTGACAGCTTAGAGCCTGGAGCCTGCCTCAGATTCTGTGTCTCCCTCTCTCTCTGACCCTCCCCTGCTTGTCCTCTGTCTTTCTCTCTCAAAAAATTAAAAATTTAAAAAAAGAAAAAAGAAAAAAATCACTCCCCTGCACCAACCTATTGTTATTCCCTCCAAAATATATTTGGAAGTGTGGTAAGTTTTTAAGATAATGGAAAGACAATGGAATCAACTGTCAATAGATGTCCCGTTTTTCTGTTGCTTACTATCTTCATGGCTTTAAATAAGTTTCTTAAATCTCCTGAGTCTTTGGTAAAAATAGTACACCTGAAAGAGTTGGTTTTGTCACATGAACTAATGAATGCCTGGAAATGTTTTGTAAATTATAATACACCAGAATTATGCCTATTTTTATGCATATGACAAAAGTAGGTTTCTTAGAAATCAACTATCCAAAAATAATACTGATCATTGAATAAACCTAGAGCCTTTGCACGATAGGACCATAGTCCTAGAAATCTTAGAATATAATATATATTTAAGTTTTTTTCTCTCTGAAAATAAACCTAAAGAATTCATGTATTTCAAAAAATTTGTAAGGGGCACCTAGATTTGGCGCAAGTCGGTTAGCTCGACTTCAACAGATCCGCGATCCTCCATTTGCGGTCCGATTAGTTCGAGCCCATTCAAGACTCTGGGCTGATACTATAATGTGAGCCTGAGCTCACCGATTCTGTCCTCCCTCTCTCGCCCCTCCCCAGTCAGACTCTGTCTCTACTGTCCCAAAAATAAATAAAAATAAAAAAAACGAAAATACAGACATGAAATGATTTAAAAAGGTTTTGCGCTGACTGTTTAACGCTGTTGTGGTATTTAAAAGAAAATATAAAAGTCTCGGGGCGCCTGGGTGGCGCAGTCGGTTAAGCGTCCGACTGGCCAGATTCAAATCTGCGGTTCGTGAGGACCCAGGCGAACTCTGGGCTGATGGCTCAGAGCCTGGAGCCTGTTTCGATTCTGTCATTGTGTCTCCCTCTCTCTGCCCCTGCATACGTTCGTATCTCATGCTCTCTGTCCCAAAAATAAATAAACGTTGAAAAAAATAAATAAATAAATATAAAAGTCTCATAATTACTTCTTTTTAAAACCTAAAATTAGCATATCTTCTTTTCACCCAATTAACTCAAATGAGTAACAAATTATTTTTTTAAAAGCTTTTTTAAAAGCTAAACTGATATTCTGTAATGACTCATCCACAAAAATATCTTTTCTGTTCAGAAGTCTGCACCTCTTTTATTTTTAAGTCAGACACATAATTTACTACACAGTTTCAAAAATGTCTGCTGTGTCAACCAACCAAAGACCAATCATTTCATTCATTCAGCCATTCATGGAGTGCCCCAGGAATGTGGAGGGTGGCATCCTGGATGGTGGCAGTGAGTTTTCTGTGAAATTTGTGGTAGAACTGGTGATCAGTTGGTAAATATGCAAGGAATTTGTCCCTCCAGTCTTAACAATGAACATGCAGACTTATCTCAGCCTGAGTTATGGAAACCACAGATCACTCAAGGGCTTGGTAAACAACTCTGGGTTTCTTACTCATGAGATGAAAACCCAAATGCCTAACCTGCGCTTTCTTTTAGAAACCATCAAGTTGAAATCTCTGCTTGATTTCAACAGCCGGTGGCCTGACCTGTTAAATTGATTTGCTAATAAAGAAATACATGAGCCCAGAAAGTTAAGAGAAAGAATGAGAAGTTCACATGCTACCTTAAGAGCCTGATGGTATTCCGCTGTGCTCCTGCTCCTGCTCCTTCTTGGTGGCCATGCTTCAATGATGCATTGATACTTTGCCATGGTAGCACTTTTACTCTGCAATAGAAATCACCTTGGCATTGTTTTCATCCTTTTTGAATGGTTTAGCCACTGCTCCTTACTTTCATATTCTCAGTATTAGCAATAAAAGTTTTTCAGTATTTTTATTTTTCGACAAACATATGACTTTTAATAGTGCCATTTTAAAAGTTAGATCATTCACAAAAGACTGGAAAAATTATTGTTTTCTTTTTAAGTCACCTAGAACTTGCTTCCAGACCTGAGATGTGACTGGCCTCTGTTAAGGGACCAAAAGCCAAAGCACTGAATTGGAAATTAGGAGACTTGGATTGGGGTCGTGTTCTTTCACTAACTAGCTAAAGAAGTTTAATCCTATGCTTCAGTTACACCATGTATGTGACTCTGGACAAGTTGTTTGCGTTCCTTTGGGCCTCAGTTTCCTCATCTGTAAAAAAGGATATTGAAGGGGCCTACCTCTTAGTATTGTTGTAAGGATTCCATGAGATTATGATTTTAAAGGACCCCAAACAGTACTGGGTCCATGCTAAGGTAGTATCTATAAAAATGTAGTAGTAATCTGTTGTCGTAATTCCTATATTATCTCTCCTCACAAGGCTATGATGAGAACCTAATGCAGAATAAATGTTGTATTTGTTTTTGTATTGCCTCACTTTAAATTACTACCAACTTGGCAGCTTGAAACAACAGCTATTGATTATCTCAGTTTCTGTGGGTGGGAAATCTAGGTCTGGCCTAGCTGAATTCTCTGCTCAACCTCACAAGACTGAGCTCAAGATGTCAGCTAAACTGTGTTTCTTTCTGGAGCGTAGGTCCTCTTGCAAACTCATGTGGCTGTGGGAAGAATTTGCTTCCTTAGGGTTATAGGACACAAGTCCCCATTTGTTGCTAGATGTCAGCAAGGGGCCACTCTCAGCAGTTGGAGACTGGCCGCCATTCCCTGCCACATGGCCCTTCCACAATGTGGTGGTTGCTTTCTTCCAGTCCCTTACCACCAGCTGAAGAAAACTGGCTTGTGCAAGGCTTACCTGATCAGGTCAGGCCACTGAGGTTAATCTCCCTTTAGCTATATACTGCAACAGCATCATGGCATGATATCTGATAATGCTCACAGTCTCTACCCTCACTTAAGGGGAGAAGACCATATGAAAGCGAGGGTCATCTTTGAACTCTGCCTACCACAAATGTGAACATGAAATGAAAAGTAAAAATGACATACAAGGTGCACATTATTGTATGTTTTATCGTTGTCATCATCATGATCATGATATCGAGTTTTTATCATCATATAACACTATTCTACTTATTTTCAAGGGTTTAAATTAGCTATAAAGAGTATTCCAATTCACCCAATAACCATGTAGCTCAGAGCTTTACATTTGCTTCATAACTCTCCCAATTCCTGTTCTCTTTGACCTGCATATTTACTTCCCACATTCCCTCCTTTAATCGTTGAGTCAGTGGCTCATGGCACCTCCCAAGAACAAAGTTTCACAGAGAGATATGTTTACATTGGATTCACTAGTCCATAAAATGCTCAACCATTATCACCCTTACATGTATGCAGCAATCCTGAAATTCCCAATGGCCTGGCTGTAGTCAACTGAAAAACAAACGAAGGGAAAGGTAATGTTTTCCAGTGCTTTAATGATATGTAACCCAGAGACTAATACAACACAGAGGTGTTTAGTCATAGAAGCAGAAGTGAGCCTAAGACGATCCTTGTGGCTATGGCTGTCATTTGACCAGTGCCCTTGAGGGCCTCATGGATTGTAAAAAGTTCAATAAATAATAAAATATAATATAAATTTAAAGTAAATATAAATATTAAATAGAATATAAAATAAAAATATAATAAAAGAATGATGCAGGGAAAAGTTGAAAATGATTACATCATCCATTAAAATGAAATGAGAAAATTTAACCTAGAAATCCAAACAAAGTAACTTCCAGTGTTTTGTTAATATAAGTGCCTTTAGGGCAGAGATGAATTCTGTGTCCACAGAGAGATTAGTTAAACTTTGTTCACAAAATAAAATAGAATTGTATTTTTTTTTTTAACGTTTATTTATTTTTGAGACAGAGAGAGACAGAGCATGGACAGGGGAGGGTCAGAGAGAGGGAGACACAGAATATTAAGCAGGCTCCAGGCTCTGAGCTGTCAGCACAGAGCCCGACGCGGGGCTCGAACTCATGGACCGCAAGATCAGGACCTGAGCTGAAGTCGGCCGCCTAACCGACTGAGCCACCCAGGCGCCCCTGTATTTAAAAAAAGAACAGAGACTAAAAATTATCTGTGTGTAAAATCCTCTTTGACACCATTGACATTATGATCACGGATATGTTACTTTTCCTCATTGAGACTTGGTTTTTGCCTCTTTAGCATGGAGATAATATCATCTACTTAAGAACATGTTCTGAGGAGTAAGTGAAATAACCTCTGCTACGTTCTCAGAACAGTGCCTGGTACTAGTGAGCATTTAGTAATGATGACTATTGTTATTGTTATTTTTATTCATGTTACTTTTGGTACATGTGGTCCGATGTCTGGAGTGTATTCAGCGCTCAGAAAATATTATTTTCTTCACCCTTCAATACCTGTTTGTTGAATTGAACTGGATTTGTCAAGAGGAGTATTTCAGATATTATCAGTCAGAAATACATTGAGAGGTTATCATTTGTATAATTTTATGTAATTTTATACAATTTTTTCCTCCCCCCCCCTCCTGCTGCATGCTTGTTTTCTTTCATCCTTCCTTCTTTCCTCGTCTTTCCTTCTTCTTCTCTCTGTTCCTTCCTTCTTTTTCTCTTATCTTTTTTTCTCAAGCAGATATTATTTTAAATTTCCGAACAACCTATGTCAGCAAGTCTGGCCAAGTTATCTTTGAAGCAAGATCAATTTGCATCCACTATGTCACAACCTGGTTCATCATTGACTTAATTGCTGCCCTGCCTTTTGATCTCCTGTATGCTTTCAACGTCACAGTGGTGAGTAAAGAGCTCCCTTCCACATGACTTTGAAGGTTATTTTTTATCCTGTGTTTATTTTCCACGCATTCAGGTTTTAAGTGTTTGTAGCAGTTTGTATGTCCAGGACTTTGTGGCCTCCTGAATACAGACACCAAAGTGACCAATGGTACGCAGGCCAAATTCTCCACCTGAGGAAGTTACTTCCTTTTGGAATTTACATGACCTGTTTTAGTTATTTAAATATCTAGAACCAGGATATACCCAAAGCATTTATCATCAATACTCGCTCACAGAAGAAATCCTTTGGTAAGGAAACCAAAAGTAATGAGCATTACTTTGTATTACTTTGGCAGGTATTTTGCCTCAGAAGTTTAGTGGAGTTTGAGATTTCTTCTGGTTTTATGACCTTTACTCTCTACCTCTTGAGTTCTTCATTAGCAAAACAAAAGACCAATCAAGATACCGAGTAGTACCGAAGTTAAAAGAATTCAACCACTTCTTAGAAGTCTTTGTAAAAATGTTGGATGGGGAAGAAATGGCACAATGATACAATGGCCACTTGAACTTGAGATCTCTTTTGGATTTTTACTGATGTTTGTAACATCTCTTTTCTTCCCTTTATCCTCATGTCTCATCACAGGAAAGAAAGTGTGTCCACTCCTTGTAGTAGCTATTTTTACTATTTAACGATTGATGTTGGTAAAAGCATTAAGTGCTCCCTTATAAATAGAGAGACTTTTAGGGAGGTATAATAGCATTTTGGGGCCAGTAATGCAATTTGCTGCTAGAGTAACCAATTTTAGCAGGCAAAAATTTACTAAACATTAGTTCAAATGAAGCCTATTTCTTACTCAGTTGACAAGACCTTGAGATTCTCTATCAGGAATTTAAAAGCTTAGTTTTCAGTATTAAAATGATCAGTGTTTCAAATACAGTCATTATTGACTTTGGGATGAAGACTGAACTGTAATCCTGACTATTTAGTACAAATTTGTGCATTTGGTAATTGTCTATACAATAGCATTTTTCTTTTCTTTTCCTTACCATTTTTTTCTTAAGATGGAAAGTTGAGGGTATCAACATCTTTAAGAGGTTTATAAGTCAACTGAAAGGAAACCTCTGGGGAAAAATTTAGTATATAATATCAATCAGTGCTACAGAGAATTGTTATCCAGGCTTTTAAAAGTGCTTTTTAAAATTGAATTTGACTAGATAAGTGTACTATAATGAACATGTAATGACTTAAAACAAGGTATTTGCAAGACTGCATCCAAAAAAATTTCAAAAGAAGTATATAATTCACAAAATACTAAGAAAAATTTTCCACATTCTCCTGGAGAATTGTTTAATGAATCATGTTTGATAGACCCCTCTCTAAATTAACTTGCTGCTTTGTGACTAAATACTAATAATTTTTTTTATGTTCCATTTCTCTTTGGGCACTGAACAAATAGGATAATTTAAAATATATATTATATAATTGTATTGTAAAATATACAAAATTTTAAAATACATGTTTATCTGTCATTAACATGCTCATTGTCTAAAATTAACACAAAGGATTTTTTTTAAAGTCTAATTCTCATATTTTGGTGAATTTTAAGTACTTGTACACTTTCACTACATTCCTGCTCCCTTTCTTCATTCTGTCTCATGAAACCTGCCATGAATACCTAATAAATGCAAGTTATAGATAAACATCTATGTTAGAAAGAAAGACAAAAGAGGAAGAAAGAATGGAATCTGTCTCTTATCAATGATAATTTTTCTGTGTCTCACAGGAGTGAGCGTATGATCATTAACCAGTTGGCATATAAATTTGCTCTGCCCCAAATAAGTTAGTCATGATGAAATATTCTATTTGTTCAAAGTATTATATTTACTTCCCAGGACAACATAAGTTATGAGGAAAAGTTTATAAGCTATGCTATTGTTATACTGCACAAACTTGTAAAAAGAAAGGTAGAAATAAATAAGCAAACACAGATGTTGGTTTTCCAGATCTAAAATACATCCAGTTAGCACATCTCTGTAGATGGTATTCAAAAACTCATTACAACCATCAGAAATGTATTGGATGCTTTAGTTTTGACTCTGCCCATAATTGCTGATGGTAAATGTTTTATATATACTTCCCACATTTCTTTAATAAAATTTAGTGTGTGTAAGTCACTATGAAAGGCACTCTGAGAGACAAAGTTATGCATGAGACATAGAAAATATGACAGAGTGAAAAAGGCAAAGTAGAAATCCCAGTATTAATCACTTACCATCTGAGTGACTTCCTTGGGGGAAATTAACATCAAAATAGGCAAAATAAGCAAAATAAGCATAAAAATCCCTACAAGGTTCTCAGCAGCCTGAAAAGCATTTCTGTTCTATACCTTGCTAAGTGTGAAACACCCAGAAAGACCTCAATACATGTTAATCAACTTGTCTTCCTCCTTTTGGGACTTTTTGAGGTTTCATTTCAAGTACCAAATTGTCATGCATCTATCAAACTCTTCTCCTATAAAATAAACTCCACCCCCAGTAATTCTTCTAAGCCAGGAAGCAGATATTGCAAAGTCCTGGCAGGAAATCATCTGGTTTACAATCAGCTGGAGAAAAGACAGATGAGGACTGGGCTGTGAAAGGGAAGAAAATAAGATTTGACACAGAAGAATGAGAAAAAGAAATCAAAGCACAGGTAGCTGGCAAGTTCCTCAGCTGACCTTATGATTTTATTATATTTCAGTATAGAATAATTCGTGAGATTACAATTGAAAAGGTTTTTATTGAATTTCTATTATATTGAGTTTAGAGCGTTTTCCATCTTATTAACCATCCTCTCATTTAACACGTATTTACGGAGCACTTACTATGTGTCAAGCACTGTTCCAGGTACAATTTTCTTCGACAGAAGGGGAGATAGATCATGGAGGAAGGAGCTAGATGTCAACTGACTCCAGATAATTATAAAGGCAAACTTCCAGAAGATGCCGACCGTGTTTATGATTGAGTCCTTAGAGCAAATACTGTTCTTAGGTATAGTCATACAAACCACTTTCTTCCCTTGTATTTATAGTTCCTTCCTCCGGCCTCCAAATTAGAAAAGGTCAAGTACTTTGTTAAACTCTATTTACGGATGAGGTCATACTTTATTTGCCGTTTCTATTTTAGAATGCTCCTTGAGGCTATTCGAGGGTGTGAAAGAGTATGCCTTAGGGCACCACGTCTGTTGTTAATAGTGACAATGACCACTCTTGTGGACACCAGTGGTGCACATGTTTCCGTCGGGCGCTGAAGTCAGGAAAATAAGTCCTTGGCCACAAGTGTATTGTTTTAGTGTGTCCAAAGACAAGACCTAGGAGAGTTTTCAAAAATGGTGTTCCATTTGATTTTGGTTCCCTCAGCCTGTGTGTTTGACAGAGAGCTCAGAAAGTATATGCTTCAGGCGTGAGTTTTTTCTGTCAGTCGATGATGTTACAAAGAAGAGAGTGCAGCACATGAGACAGGAGGTATTACTGGCATTTGTGAGTAAATCTTACTCAAGTTTGGTACATCTAATCACTATTTTGTTTTAAAGTTACCTTTATTACCACTTCACAGGGTTCAGTGTGTCTAAATTATTGTTATGATGTCACTCCTGCATGGAGGAAGGGACGTGGAATTGAAAGAAAATGTGTGTAAGAAGTGGAGACACCTTATGTTCAATCCTGAGACCATAATGTGTTTCAGTTGTGTATCAGAATATACAAAATCATATTCAGTCAAATAGGTTGAGAAAAAAAGATAAACCTTAAGGAAAATAAGTACCAATTCAAGGAAAGTAAACTGTCTCATCATCCTTTATCCTATCACCTCTTGATAGCATTATGTCGAGAAACGACATTGGCATGGTCATAAAAATGACCATCGCGTTGGAGTCATGATTATGCTTGACTTCAAGAACTTTCCAGAATGGCTGTAAGTTAAAGCAACCGCTATGATGCGGAGTGAACCCATGAGCCACGCGGTGCCGCTCGGTCTCCTCCCACAGGTGTCTCTCGTGCATCTCCTGAAGACCGTCCGGCTGCTGCGTCTCTTGCGTCTCCTGCAGAAGTTGGACCGCTATTCCCAGCACAGCACAATCGTCCTGACTCTGCTCATGTCCATGTTTGCACTCCTTGCACACTGGATGGCGTGTATCTGGTATGTCATTGGAAAAATGGAGAGGGAAGACAACAGCCTTCTGAAGTGGGAAGTTGGTAAGGGCTTATGTTTGTCACATTTTCCATTTTTAAGTGAAAAGGAAGTTTGTCTAGAATTTGGAGGAAGTGAAAGATTCCATAATTATGTCCTCTGACTGTCGATTTGTCTAATATTTTTTAGGGACTGGGAGGGGAAGGGTGTGGGGGGACAGGGTCTATGATACAAGTGATTTCTTTTGAGGAAGTTTTCTGGAAAATCCATATATATGTATATGTGTGTGTGTGTGTGTGTGTGTGTGTGTATGCATATATATATAGAGAGACAGACAGAGAAAGAGAGAGAGAGAGAGTAATGGGTTAAGCTTTCAAGGGACTAAATGTTTAAAATGACCAGCAAGGCTGTAGAAGCGTAGGTAAGTAATGTGTGATCTTATCTGACATATCCAATGCAGGGCTAATACCATTGAATCCCTGGGCAACTGGCCTATGGCCAATCATTGCAGTGAGACAGTGAGTGAGTGTATTATAATAACACACTTTCCATATCTAGTATACTTTGAGAATGTGTAATGATAGAGGGGACTGGATGTTTACAAATATAATTTGTAGAATTTTGTGTCCCCATTATACATGGGAATTTAAGGGAGACTTTTCCATGTGCTACATAATTCTGCATAAATGAATCTGAAATGTTCTGCACATGAACACATTTTTAAATTTATGCTAACCACAAGAACTGTACAGAAAATGAAACTTCCTAGGGCTATAACCCTCTATCCAAAAATATTTGCATTATTCTCACAGTCATTGCCTTTAGAGAATTGTCATGGTACCCCACGTAGAATTCTTTTTTTTCTTAATCTGACATTTCGTCAAAAGAATCTGTTTCTTGGTTGGCTAGAAAATTCTTCACTTCTTTTCTCCAAAAAATCAATCTTGAACTTTTGGAAGCACAGACCTTTGCACAGGGATGAAGCCACAAGAGATTCCCGAGAGAAAAAAATGCTCTAACTTTTCACACCAGCACTTAATGGCAGGATGCATCTGGAACATCCCTGGGTTGGCTCTCATAATGCCGTCCTCTTGCTATATGGCAGTGTACAAAGCCTTCAAAGTATATCTTTGGAGAACAAGTTGGAGACGCTAAGAAAACAGATTCTCCTTAAAATCTTCTAAAAATGCTCCTACATACACGTCTCAATTTTGACCCTAAACTACACCAAAGCAAGGACTGTGTTCTGATAATGTTCATCTCAGACTGGTTTTATTCTCCTTATCAAAGTACTTCTTCTGTGCCTTGCTATGGATCTCAATTCTCAGAAATGAAGTAAAGGGAGAGCTAGAACTGCAGAGTGAAAGCAAGAATATCCTACATGAAGACAATATGAGATGACATGAGAGAGAGAGGGAGAGAGGGAGAGGAGAAGACAGCATGGTGAGGAAAGAGAAGAGTTGATTAAATGAAGAATCAAAGTCTGGATTGTACTTGGATTAAGACATTTTCTGTCCTTTAGTATTGTTTCCCTTTCTATTTTCTTGTCCTGAAGGCTCCCTCATCACACGCTCTGATATAGTCCTAATGGTATTCAGTGAATTGCCGCATTAGATCTCTGCCCTTTGTTTTGAATCCATATTAAAATTCTTGCTTGTGGTCAGCCACCTGATTCCTTTCTGGGCCTGACCTAATTTCCTTCGGGCCCCAGACCTATACACTCATATTAATTTGTAAGGCTAGTCTAGTCTGAGAGGCTCCAGATGGGGAAATTCAGCTTATTCACGCTCTCAAATTTAGTTAGATGAGGAAAGCTTTTTTGTGTCCTTTCCAGCACACCAGTTCTGCTACAGAAGTACAAACTAGCTGTTGTTTTTCTTCCCACAAACACACAGAAGTAATGATTTTCCAAGAAAAAGAAGCCAACCATCTGAACGACTTCAGTATTGTCCCCTACCACTTGTACTCTTAAACTTGGTGCTGTGGTTCAGTGTAATGAATGGGAGCTTGTGAGCTGGAAGTCAACCCACAAAGAGAGCATAATACGTAACACAATGATGAGAAGAACGTTGGGCTGGGGCCACAGAACTCTCCTGTTATCATGGCTCTACCACTAACCAATTGCGAGATTTACAGTAATTTCATTCACCTCTGTGGGCCTCAGTTTCCTCACCTAGAGCATGAGAAACCTCACCATATACCTCGAAAGTCTATTTCAGTTTCCATGTTTATGACTTTAATGGAAGAACAAACCCAGTTTTGTGTGCTTATTTTTGTCATAATTCAGTGTCCACATAAACCATCAGCAGCAACTATCCAATGTCAAAGAGTTTGAAGAAAAAGGATGTGTCAGGAGGCACATCTTGTGATCACAGCCTGTCAAAGAATTGATACGTTTTACTCAGTTATAGTAAGGATTACTGAATCTGTATCTTGAGAAAATTAGATTTCCTGTCCAAACACCTCTTGGAAGACAATCTGAAAGGGAGTATGCTAACTCTGCCTGTCAATATCAAGTTTCTAGGCTTGGCTACAAGGACTTTCCCTTCCCTTAAAATTACTTACCTCATTGTTCATTCAAAACATTCTCCAGCTGAGATTTGGACACAAATTAAATAATTATGACCTTCGCTACCTAATCTTTTAATGAAGCAGCTGAGAGTCTAGGCTCATTTAGTTTTTACTATGTAATTTGTACACTAATATTATGTTTTACCTTTTTTGGTCCAATTACCATGAATCAAAAATTCTTCACACAAATAAAGTTTGATTAGAGACACGTTCTTTATGTTGTGACTAGCATTAGATGTATAGAACAGATTCGTCTTCCCAAGGGATAAAATAGAACTTCCTTTCTAGTCACTGTTAATTGCCTTGAAATGATTTTTTCCACTTTTTGTTCTTGGCAGGTCTACTACTTAGAGTTAGAGAGAGTTCCGGTATTTTGTATCAGATCAAAGCACAGTTAATATTTTTAAAAGATTGTAATATCACTTATCTATATCTATTTTTAGAAGGTGGAATTAATACTCATGGACTAATTATACCAGAGGCTGATTTTGAACTGATTTGCCTGCTGTTATTTTTACTTTTATGTGCTTCTTTACTGTATTTTAAGGGATTTGAGGTTTGGCTTATTGGTTCATGGCATTTTAGACTTCGTGAGAAATCCCGCTCTAGGCTATGCAGGCTCCGTGCTGGAAGGGTATGGTCTGTTGTGTTCACTGTGGTGTCCCTGTGGTATATAGTTCCTGGAACATGGCAAATGTCGGGGGGGAAAATGTGGAATGAATCAACCTTCAAGGTCATTCATTTACTAAATGACAGTCATGGGACAAGAACCTAGATACCCTAACTCCTTATGTAGAACTCCTTCTAATACTTTTGAATATTATGAAATTACAGGAAATGGCTGTGTAGCAAATATTTTCAGGCAGTGAGATTGAGAGAAGAATGAATAGGGTGATCACTTAAGATTTGGTTGTGCATTCAAAAAAATATTTCTTGAGTGCCCACTGCATGCTTGCTTGGTCCCGGGTAAGGCACTGGAGAAAACCAAAACAAATATTATACTTAATGTCATGGAACTTGAAGTCCAGTAGGAAAAAGAGACAACTAGTTCAATAGATATATGACAGTGTGATAGTTCTAGAACTGGAACATGCACAGAGGAGAGGCAGCTAGATCTAGCTGGAATATCAGCAAAGGCTTTTCCAAGAGGAACTAGTTTGAAGGAATGAGTAGGTCTTGTCTCTGTAGATGCTGAGGTACGGGCATGGGTGGGAGCAGGAACGTGGTTATATGAAACAGTTCACTAAAAACCAGCATAAAAGATGAATGGGGTAGTAAAATGATGAGGCTAAAGAGGCAGGTAGTCGGGGACCAGATCTTTATAGACCATTCATGCTAAGCTTTAGAGTTTGGACTTCATCCTAAGGCCACAGAGAAGCATAAAATTCTCTGAAGCAGTGATCCAGAGAATAGGGGGAGATGTTTTGCTCTGCTTGCTTCATTTTCGATACCTATAAAAGGGCAATAATAGTAGTGCCTCCCTCATTAAGATTGCCAGTATTAAATTAGGAAATCTATGTGAAGCATTTTATACTGTGCCTGGCACCTAATAAATTCTCAATAAATAGTAGCTATTATAGCCATCATTCTCATTTTATTATGACAGTTCCTTCTAATAAAGAAAGTACCATGAGCTGTGACTAGTGATACTTACGATTTTATATGGGGAGGGTATTAAGAAATGGCTTAAAAAGTATTGTCCTTAAAGTGTAGCTGTAGTTTTGTAGTGCTGAACAACAAATTGTGTGCTTTTGCCTATCTTCAAACTAAAAAAGCCCACACCTTATATTTGAGTCAGTCTCAGAAAAATTAGTAACTTTCACAAAGCCTCATAATTGCACACACACAGATTTCCCCTTCAAGGCTAATACAGGTGACAAGTTTAACATCTACCCTATAAGCTTGTTGGGATAAAGAACACTTTTATGGAACTTAGACACGGTGCTTCAAGCACAAGATTCAACAATACATTAAAGAGACCTATCACAACTGAGT